GCGCGGGGCGGCGGCCCCGGCGGCGGCGGCGGTGGTCAGGGCCTCCTCGCCTGCGCCGCAGGCCAAGGCCAAGGCGGCGGCGGGCGTGTTGCCAGCGGTGGAGGCGCCGGTGCCCAAGGGTCATTAGCTGGGCGCGGCTCTCCGCCTCTGATGCGGCGCCGATCCCTCGGAACAGCCATAGCCTCTGCAATGGTGAATTTGTTTGTACATGTGCGCCGTTGCCCCCTCAAACTTTCCGGCGGCAGCTGACGATGAATGCTCCTGGCACCGCCGGCGGCGCACACGCAGCCGGCGCACACGTGGCGGAGGACGTGGATTCGCTGGCACTTGCAGCTGAGCGCACGTCGCCGCACGGCGGGCTCTGGGACACACCAATTTTTACGCCGTCAGCTGCGCACGCGCATGCGACCGTTTGCTGCTCATCCATCCTTACAGTTGCTGTTGCCAGCTGCTGACTTCTCCCAACTGTGTGCTGGGATGCACCAGTCATATCCTCCTGCTGCACAGCGCAGCGCATGCCGCGCCAAAACACGTGGCGCGGGCTCCCACCCGCGCCTGGCATGCCCCCAGCAGGGAGGAGGATGTTGGGGGCACCGATGACTAAATACGACCCACGACCGCGGCCAGGTATTATGTAACTCAGGGATAGAAACGCTGCGCCCTGGAATGCTGTGGCCGTGGTGTGCAGGCCCTCAAGGCTGGGCTAGCCGGGGTCCAACAACCAACATGTGCTGGGTGGGGCAGGGTGCCATAAATATCTCTTCACAGCAAGAGTGACATTCTGCCGCGAAAAAGCAGAGGGCGCAGTGTGCTGAGTGCATTGCGTATACGGTGGACTGCTGTCCATGTTGCTTGCCATGCGCATTTGCATCGTGGGCGCGTTGAGGCTGCCGCCACGTTTGTGTGAGGTGTGGCAGTGGAAGGGACTTGCGCAGCGACGTTGCGGTGGATGTGCTGGCCCTCACTTTTCCACGGTCTTCTCAGCCTGCGCACCTTTTCGCGCAGCGTGCACGCTGTCGTTGCACCCACCCAGAGTCGGCTCTCACGAAGCGATAACCATGAGGAGCTTTGCGACCTCCAGCGCCCGTGGCGCGCAAGGCAAGCCAACTAAGAGGAAACTTATTTGTGGAGCGGCAGCGAACCGGGCTGGGCGAGCCAGGAGCACGCGTGGACGGGGAGCAGCAGTGCAGCACTCGCTCGGCTCCATTCCCGTGCTGTTGACGTGGCTTGCTTCTCGCGCGTGCTAGCCATGGATATCATCAGCTTTGAATGTTTCTCAAATGGAAGCAAGGGGGGCTTGCCAGCTCACAGATCACGGTTTCGGCCCCTCCTTCACCGCAGTCGCGCCCGGCGTGACCAGCCGCCGTGCTGTGAAGGTCTCCGCCATTGCGGCTACTCCCGGGACGTCCTCCAGGACCCCCAGCCAGACTGGCTCGGTGAGCATGCCGCCCCGCCGGCGGCCGCCCGCCCAGGGCCTGTTACCTTTTGACGGGACGACGGGGTGTTTCCCACCCCAAGGCTTATCATTGTGCATGTGCTCATGTCATCTGCATTGCGGTGCACATACGTGCAGGTCAAGAAGGCAATGACCCTGACTGAGAAGATCCTGGCCAACCACAGCGGCGGCAGCCCGGTCAAGCCCGGTGACAACATCTGGACCAGGGTGGACAAGCTCATGACTCACGACGTGTGCGGCCCGGGCACGTTCGGCATCTTCCAGAAGGAGTTCGGCGAGGCCGCGCAGGTGCGCGCGGGGGCGGCGGCGGGGCAGGGGGCAGAGGGACGGCGGCGGGCGCGGTGCGCGTCCCAAGGCGCGGGGCTGTGGCTGTTTGTGAGCGCGAGGCGGCCTTGAGCGGCGTTGACTGGGCGGCAGCAGCCATGGTGGCGTGGGCGGCAGCAGCCATGGTGGCAAGCGTGGCGAGGCAGCAGCTGTGGCAAGCCTGAATAGGAGATGGGGCGAGCAGTTGCCTCGTTTCCGTGTGCCCAGCTCAATACGCCATAAATGTCGCCGGTGCAGCCGGGCGGCCTGCGGAGCCGCGCAGCAGCCCCCACGCAGCCAACAGCCGACGGGCCCTGTGGCAGGCGCGAGCGTCGCAACCATGGCGCACAACGCCCTTCGCACGGCAGCTGCCGCATGTCACGCCCTACGTGCTGCTTCACTTACTCTTCCGCACCGCCCCCACGCCCTCGCCTCACGGCGCCGCCTGCAAACCCCCTCCCGATACCCCTCCTTGCCTCCCCCCCCCCAAAAAGCTGCCCATCAACCAAACCGCTCCCAATCGCACTGCACCCGCTGCCCCGCCGCGCCCAGGTGTGGGACAACGAGCGCGTCGTCATCATCCCGGACCATTACATCTTCACCAGCGACCCCCGCGCCAACCGCAACGTTGACATCCTGCGTGAGATGGCTGAGAAGTACAACATCAAGTACTTCTACGACATCAAGGACAGGTGGGGTCGGCCCCCACCCCAACGCAAGCCCACCTCACACTCGTCAAAATACACACATCAATTCAGAGCACCCACCCCCGCTTGCATGGCCCAAGCATGCCAACTTTGATGGTCTTGCGGACGACCGTCGATATTCTCGCTTTTTTTTTGACCACGCACCAGTTGGGGCCCTATCAAAGCCTCTTACAATCATAGAGCATGCGGCTGCAGCCAGCGTACAGGCACCTACCCTGGTTACTCCCTCCTGACGCACCCCAAACCCCCCAACCCAACCCCCACCAGGTCCAACTTCAAGGCCAACCCCGACTACAAGGGTGTGTGCCACGTCGCCCTCGCCCAGGAGGGCCACTGCAAGCCGGGGGAGGTGCTGTTTGGCACCGACAGCCACACCTGCAACGCCGGCGCGTTCGGCCAGTTCGCGACGGGCGTGGGCAACACCGACGCCGGGTTCATCCTCGGCACCGGGAAGCTGCTCATCAAGGTGCGCACCCCCGCCCTGCCACGACTGATCCCCCCCCCCCCGGCTGTGGGCCTTGGCTGCTCTGGGCAGCTGCGGGGGACACAGCACTGTCACTGCTCCCGCAGAACCACAGCCCAGGCAGCCCCCGCGGGCCGCCACGGCCGCTGGTGCGCGCGTCGCAGCCGGACCTCTAGTCACCGATGTGCCGTATCACACCGGGGGCCGCCCCGCGGATCTCATGTGACATCCTATCCAGGTGCCGCCGACCATGCGGTTCCAGCTTGAGGGGGAGATGCCGGAGTACCTGCAGGCGAAGGACCTGATCCTCCAGATCATCGGGGAGATCAGCGTGGCGGGCGCCACCTACAAGGTGA